TCAGCTCGAGCCAGTTTTTAGAACTCTTAATCTCTCTTTATTGCATTAGAACATACATTTCTCATATATATCTATATATATATATCTTATAAATGTGAATTTGTACACTACAATCTTTTATTGTAACATGTTAGAAAATACTCGTAACGCTCCAAAAAACATAGCACTGAAAACAAGTTACCAAACAAATGATTACATTTCCTCGTTTTTGTTTCGCGTTTTGTTTTTTTATGTTTCGGCCACCGGAGAACAGAAAAAGACAAGATGGTGGAGCTGCCACTGCTGATCGGGAGGAGAGGAGAGGACGCCATCTTGGGGCTGGGAGGGGGGGGGGGGGGGCTGTGCTGCTGGGGGCTGTTTTTAATCTCCCTTTTTCATTATTCTTCATCTTTCCCCCACTAATTTAGGCCCTCCATGGGGATAAACACACACGGGTTATGGTCTCTAAACCGGGAAGTAAAGGTTTCTTAACCCTAAAGGGGCCTAAGGAGCTCCTAACCCTAACCCTAGACAGCCAAACCTCCATCCTGACAGCTAAGCTAACTAAGCTAACTAAGCTAACTGAGCTACTGGCGCTCGATCGTTTTTTACTTTGCGTCTTGAATCCTCTGCGAACAAACACAACAGAACCAAGTGTGTTTTAGTTTGAGAAAACACTAATCACTAATCCAACGGCCCAGAGGATCCACTCGATCCGGTTCTGGTACCAGATCCAGATCCAGATCCAGATCCAGATGGCCAACAAAGAGAAAGACAAGAAGACAAAAGTCCCGATTCCCCCCCATAAACCAAAAAATCTGTCCTCTATTTGGCCCTCCTCAATTGTTCAGGGAGTTCCTCTTTCACTTCACATATGTACACACATATACGCACACACACACACACACACAAAACCCTGTGACCATTATAGACGTATAGAAACACACACTCTCTCACACACACACACACACACACACACACACACACACACAGAGACACAACAGGACACGGCAGATGAGGTGTCGATATCTGAGCTGAGAGATGGTTTTCGTTTTCGATATGACAATCAGAGCCTCAGTGTCACAACACCACCACTTTAACAACAACAACCCCCCCCCCCC